ACTGGTATTGCATAATCCAGGTGAAGAAGAGTGTGTCTGGAGTACAGGAGACCAGTTAGGCTGTTAGTACTGGGCTGCCCTGTGACTAATGCCCATGGAAAACTGCTGTCAGTATTGGGGGCTGAGTCAGAACCACCCCAGGAGTGGATATGCCTGCCATTCTCGTTGTCTCTGGTACACTCAAGCCCACTGTTACTGGCACTGGGTCAATTCAGATCAGTAAGGGTTTTCCTCTCTTTTGCTGACCATCCACTTTTCCAAGCATGATGTCCTTCTCCAGGGACAGGTCCCTTCTAACACGGCCAACATTGGTGAGATGAGGCTTCACCACCTTTGCCTCCCAGGAGCACGCGGGCTACAGTGTCTCCAAGACATACCTGTTCTCTTGGCAGTCCTCTTCCCCAATACCACAACTCAAAGGCACTGATTCTTCTTGTCATCCTCGGTCATGTCCAACTTTTACATGTATAATAAGTAACTGAAAATACCACAGATGAATCTGACGCATCTTAGTATTTAAACTGACATCCTCGTTCCTTGACACTTTAGAGAGGTCCTGACAGCAGAATTACCCAGCGCCTTTCGTTTTCTTGACTGTTGGTGCCAAGGTGTCGACTGTGGGTCCAAGTAAGAAGGAATTGTTGACTTCAATCTTCTTTTTACCATTATGTTCTGAAATCACTATTAGTGACCTAGACATTTCAGAAGTGAACGTCTGGGTCACCCCATGAGGCAAAGCACTATACTCAGTGGAGGTGTTTGCAGCGTGCAAAGGGAATACAGAACAAGTGATGGAAGAAGAGAATTCTAAATATCAGTTATGACCACGTGAACCATTGCAGAAACAAAGACTATGTTTATTATGGGCATTTTTCTTGTATGTGCGCATGTTTTCCTTTTACATAAAATATAACAGGGTGGGCATGTCTCTGATTGTATGTTAGTTCTACCATGTTAAGTATGATAATTTTTTTCCATTTAGAGATCATGTATGGTTTAAGGTATATACCGGTCTAAAACTGACAAAAATTACGACTTGTTGGACACCACAGACTCATAGCCACCTCATACACAATGGAACAACACCCTGCCTTATCCTGCAATATTAATGATATCGTTAGAGAATTTCCACATTCTATTGAATAAATTTTTTGTCCAAGTAGCTGTTTTCAGATACCTTGTCGTATAGAGACAGGTGATCTGGTTTTGCTCTGTTTTGCTTGTGTTGTTTTGCACCACTATCATTGATGTGCCAACAATTCCTGAAGTCTTTTTCTTGCCAATGCTTTCAGTGAGGCCAGGACTGTTCCCTCCCTTGGCTCTTGATCTTACGCAATTTCTTAAGTGGTTTCATGGCTGCTAGATCTTCTCAGTACAGTGACTCAATGCATTCCTTCCATCTTCCAATGATTCCCGCATTATTCAGTATTTTTCCCATCAAATCCTCCGTTATTCTATGTCAAGGCTTACATTTTTTCCTCCATACTTTCAGACGCTCTTCGTTTTGGTTTTCAACTTTAGGTTTTAGTAACTGATGAACTGTGATGGTTAGTATCTCTCATCAACTTCGTGATTCTCCGTATTATGTAACTACCCTGCGTGTTGTGAATGCTGCTGCGGAGGAAGGGTTCGAGGAGGCTCCGTGATGATTCCAGCCTGATTTGGTGATGGGAGGTCTCCTCAGCGATGTGGCCCGCACTGGACATGTGAGTAGCCCCTCAGGCAGAGTGAGAGGGCTTTACGCGCGATACATGACTCATCACCTCAGACGTGAACCAGGCGTCTGCGGGCCTTGTCTGTTTTGGGTCTGTCAGCTTCTGAAGCCAGCAGTCTTTGGCTCCATCTGCAGGCTATGGGTTCATTACCTTTCTCAGATGCCTCTCACCTGAGGTATGACTCACAGAGCTGGGACTGACCCGTCTCTTGACAGACAGACGTAGTCCTCCCAAGCAAGTCACAGCCTACGAAAGCCAACAGCAAGTCAGCTGTCAGTTTTGACTTGATGGCCATGTCTTTCAGTTGTTGCTGTTACGTGCCATCGACTGTGACTCGTTCCACCATTATGGACAGGTTTACTTTGTCCTAACCTGGGCTATCATCACAATGTCCCACATGCTTGTTATGTGCCATCAAGTCGCCTGGGAACCACAGCGTCCCTGTGTACAGCAGCTCTGAAGCCTGCCCTGTCCTGAGCCAGTCTCATTAATTCCGACACTCCTATCACCATTGCCCCACTCACTGTATCCAACCATCTCATCCCGGGTCTTCCTCTCCTGCGCTGTCCCTCCACCCTTCCAAGCATGATGTCCTCCTCCTGGCGACGTGCCCAAAGTACATGAGATGGAGCTTCAAAATTCTAGCCTCCAGGGAGAAACCTGGGTTCACCCTCTCCAAGACAGACCTATTTATTTTCTTGGTGGCCCACAGTGTGTTCAAGACTATTGTTTCAGTCACTGTGCCAATTCATTTCATTAGTCTTCCTCTGATCCTCTATCTTTTCCGGATGAGATCTTTTCCCAAGAACTGGGCCCTCCTGACAACATGCTCAGAGTGTGAGGCGGTTTCACCATCTTTGACCCTAAGAAACGACCGGCTGCATTTCCTCCGAGGTGGGTGTTTGCTCTTCTGGCTGTCGAAATTCTGCCTACTTCGCCAACAGCAAACTTCAAAGATTCTTCTTTGGTCATTCTCAGTCACTGTCCAACTCTCAGACGTTTTCAAAGCAATGCTTCCGCAGACAGGCATGAGTGGAGAAGGCAGATCTTGGTCTTTGAATGGACACCGTTGCTCTTCGGCACGTTGGAGAGGTCCTGGCCGACTCTCCTGGCGCAACAGGACTGCTGGTTTCCTGACTACTACTCTGAATGCTGACTGTAGACCCAAGTCCAAGGCGGCACTGAAAACTTTCAATTTTTCTCTAGAATTAAAAAAAAACATAATGTTGCCTACTGATCCAGTGGTAATGGTTTTTGTTTTCTTCACATTGAGAGAAAATTCATGTTAAAGGCTGTGGTCTTTGGTCTTCTGTGGCCAGTGCTTCAAGCCTTCATTTCTGGAAGCAGGGTCATGTCATTTGCGTCAAGAAGGTGGCTGAGTGTCCTCTCAGTCCTGGTGCCAGGTTCTTCTTCATATGGTCCAACTGTTTGTCTGTTCAGGACACAGACTGAACAGGTATGGAGAATGGATACAACCTGACCCCCGCCTTTTCTGATGCTGAGCTCTTGTTCTATTCAGACAACTGCTTCTCGGTATTACGTACGGGCTTCACACGAGCACAATTAAATGCTCTGAGATTCTCATTCTTCTCAGTGTTATGTGCTGTCGAATCACCTGTAACTCACAGCGACTCCGTGTACAACAGCCCTGAAGCCTGCTCTATCCTGTGTCAACCTTACTGTCTCTTGACACACCTACCCTCATTACCCAGTCACTGACTCAATCCATCTCATCCAGGGTCTTCCTCTCTCTCTCTGTCCCTCTCCAAGGACTGGTCCCTCCTTGCAACATGCCCAAAGTATGTGAGACAAAGCCTCAGAATCCTTGCCTCCAAGTAGCAGCCTGGTTTCACCCTCCCTAGGATGAACCTGTTTGTTCTCCTAGCAGTCAATGGTATATTCACGGACATAGTATATTCTTCTCCAGCACCACAGCTCAATGGCATCAATTCTCTATTATCCCTAGTCATTGTCCAGCTTTCTGACACATAGCAAGTAATTGCAAAGACTATGGCCTGGATCAGGCGCACCTTAGTCTCCAAACTGAGGTCGTTGCTCTTCAGTATGCTGGAGAGGTCCTGACAGCAGATTTTCCCAGTGCAATTTGTCTTTTCATTTCCTGGCTGCTGGTACTAAAAGTGTTGATTGTGGAGCCCAAAACTAAACCCATTAACAATCTCAATCTCTTCACTAGGATCCACACAGTCAAATATCTTCACATAGTCAATAAAAACAGGTAAATCTACCCTCATTCCATGGCCTTTTCTGAATCTAACTTGAATTTCTGGCAGTTTTCTGTTGATGGACTGTTCTAGTCGGTGCTGAATAATCTTCAGATTTTATTTCTATGCTATTTGTATAGTAATGTTATTGTTTGAAGATTTCCACATTTCATTGGATTTTTTTTAGTACTGAAGAGCAACGACGTCACGCTGGAGACTAAGGTGCACCTGATCTGGGCTATATTCTTCGCAATTATGTGCTATGCATCAGAGAGTTGGACAGTGAATAGGGTTGATAGAAAGAGGATTGATGCCTTTGAGCTGTGGTGCTGGAGAAGAGTGTTGAATATACCATGGACTGCTAGGAGAACAAACAGGTTTGTCCTGGAGAGGGTGAAGCCAGAGTGTTCCCTGGCGTCAAGGATTCTGAAGCTTTGTCTGACCTATTTTGGGCATGTTGCAAGGAGGGACTGGTCCTTGGAGAGGGACATCATGTTTGGCAGAGTGGAGGGGCGGTGAAGGAGAGGAAGACCTTTGATGAGATGGAACGATTCTGTGACTGGAGCGGTGGGAATAACTGCATTTGAGCTGGCTAAGTTGGCACAGGATAGAACAGCTTTTAGAACTCTCGTACATAGGGTCGCTATGAGTCGCAAGTGACTCGATGGCACGTAACAACAACATGGGAACAAATACCACTCTCTTCTAGTCAGTTGACCAGATAGTGTTTTTCCAATTTTCCCCCTGAAATTTCTTGGTACAGGCGAGTACTGCATGTTGGTGTCAAACGGGATTTCATCAACCCCTGTGGTCTTGTTTCTTCAGATGCCTTCAGTGCAGCTTCAAGGTCTCCGTCCTTCACCACTGGTCCTCGATGTGTTTGTGCACGCACACAAACTCCACTGCTTTTACTCGAGAAGCCAGCCTCGGTCGGTGAGGGGCTCTGGCCCAGGCAGCCGGGCAGGGGTCACGTTTAAACAGTTGTGACTCTGGAGTGGCATCCACACGAGTCTTGCAGGCACGTGAGTCTCTGCCTGCTCTCCTGGATGTCCCCAACCTGCAGCTCGAAAGCACACAGGTTTATGCTACTATACTCCCGCAGTCCGGAGGCTGTCCCGGGGCTCAGAGGGAAAAGTGGGGTGTTGCCTGGTTCTCCAGAGGTTCCAGACATCTCCAGCCTGTTCCAGCTGCTCGAGGCTCTTCATCCCTTGGCCCCTTCCTGAGTCTTTTTTTAAAATTATTATTAAATTTTATTCGTTTTAATGAACATTTACAGAGATTTTGGGTTCTCATTCATTCATTGTTGCATTCTTGAGTCTTCTAAGTCAGCAAAGAATCCCTTCCCGTGTTCCTGACTCTGTCTCCCCATCCCTGCTGACCCGCCTGTGCTCCTCCGATGAGTGACCCAGGATCACTTCTGGACTCAAGGCCCTTCACATCACCCGTCTAACAGGCGCTTTTACCACGTCTGGCACCACGTGTCCAAGACTGGAACCAGGCGTCCTCCCGTCCGCACTCCAGGTGCTTCTGGCTGTGCTGCCCCTGCCTCCGTCACCTAGCCCACGTGCCTGAGCTGGAGGGGCTCTGTCCCATCTCTCTTCCTGGGCTTTCTCTCACTCTCCAGGAGACACCCTGAGCGCTCTTTCTGACCCTGCTGCAGTATCAGGTGTCCACAAGACAGAGTGACTCCTCCTACAGCCCGTACAACTGACCCATCCACCTTGGGAGCTCGGCTGTGCAGAGGCCACACGCGGTCTCTGGCCCGGCAAGGTTCTTGTCACCCTGCAGCCTACAGTCTGTACTCTGGTGGCTTTACAGACCCCTCATATTAGTCCTGATTCCAGGGCTTCTCTTAGGGGGCAAGGGAGTAGAACAGAATCACGACGGAGGCATGCGTCCAGGGCCCCTGACTGGAAGCAGCACACACTGTACTTTTCTTTTCTTTATTTAAAAAAAAAACCAACAAAAACCACTGGGACTCAGCATGAGGGGAGCCCACTGGGAGGAGCACACAGGGTGGGGCATGACGACAGGGTGCGTACGTGGGGCATGGGTACAGTACTTACGGCGGGTACACCCTCTGACCCATCAGGCCAGCAGGGTCTCACCCAGGCTGCCTCTCGGGGCCTCGCCCAGGCTGCCTCTCGGGGCTGGACCGAGGCTGCATGTAGGGCGCGCAGACAGACAGAATGATCCCCCAGGAAGGAGGGTCTGGCCAGGCCCACCCAGGGTGAGCGTGAAGGGAACCAGGAAGTTCTTGGCCTCGTGAGAAGGGATGGGGTGGGGCCCAGCCGCCATGGAGTCCCAGCTTCCTGGGGCAGAGTGCTTGGGGTGAAGCTGGCCTCAGGGGTACATGGCCAGGTGGGCCTGGCAGGCCCTGGGAATGGACAAGAACACAGGAAAACACAACCATTTCGAACCAAACACACGAGCCCCACAACGTACCAGGAAACGGAACCCAGAATGCATTGCAATGTGCATTGAAAGTAAAACACAGGACCCTCCCCCGTGCACCTGCGGTCGGCGCCTCGTGGATGCAGACTCGAGGGCCGAGGTGCTGGGCAGGGTCCGGCAGGTGCAGGCTCCCGGGCGGAGCCCCCTCCCCACTCTGAGGGAAGGCTGTGTGCCCGGGCGGGGCCTGCAGCAGGCCTTGGTCACTAGGTGTAGAAGATGACCTCAGGGATCTGGCCGTCCTCCACGGATGTACCGTTGTTGTTGCCCGCGGCGTAGCAGAAGGTGAAGCAGGTCTTGGCGCCCGTTGTGGGTGACTCATGGGTCACTTTGCGCAGGCCTTTGGTACCGTAGTGCGAATCGGGGCCCTGTGGGAGGGGGAGGAATTAGGGACCTCAGAGCCACATCCACCGGAGGGCAAGATTGGGCCCAGGGGCTGGAGGACCCGGATGAAGATTTGGAGGCTGGTGGTGGGCAGTAGGGTCTGTGAGGGAGAGGGGCATAGGGCAGGGGAACTGGGCGCAGGGGGCAGGAGCAGGGCTATGGGCAGGGCTGGCGCCGGGGGCAGGAGGAGGGACAGGGCTGCGGCACCTTGAGTGTGGCGCAGGCCGTGTAGTTGACATTGGGCAGCACTTCCACAGGCTCCTTGAACATGACGCGGAAGGTGCTGGCAGAGCCGTCACAGCTGAAACCCGTGTCATTCTGCCCCAGGACAGTGTTGCTGTCGGTGTGGATGATCTGTGTGGGGACAAGGCCTCAGTGGACGCTGCCCCCACAGCTCGTGCCCTGGGACCAGCCCCCAACCCCGCCACGTACCTGGATGTTCACTTGGTAGTCAGTCGGCCCGTGGATTGACCCGTAGAGGCCGAACCCCACCACAAAGATGCGCTTGTTCACCGAGAACCTGGGGGACGAGGGTGTCAGAGTCAGCACATCCTCCCCGAAGCGCTCCAAGTGTGAGGGGTGCTCCGCTCCTGGCGTGCGTCACAAATGACCGGCGGGACCACGGATTTGGGCCCTGGTCACGGTCTACAGCCTGCACAGCCCTCACTCGGCCTCCCCACATCTGAAGCTGCTCCTGCCGCGGACACGCCATCGACGCCTAGGACCCACCACGTTCACTCCTCCGACACCCGTACCCCAGACACTGCACCCTTCTCTCTCACACGCCCCAGAGCCCCACGCCTGCTCCTCCCGGCTGCGCTCCGGCTGCCAGCTCCTGCACCCTGTCTCCTCCTCCGCGACCCACCTGACACGGTCGCTGGTCCCACTGTAGCCCCAGCGGCTCTCCACCTGCTGGAAGCGGTTGATGCTGCACTCCTTCCCACGCAGGCAGCAGCGCGGCCGGTCGATGAAGTCGACCCGCGGCTTGGGGTTGACGGTGAAGTGCAGGAAGAGGCTGACCACCTCGCGGTCCATAAGGATGCCAGACTGTGCGGGGCCTGCGGGCAGAGGACGTGCTGGGGGCGGCCACCAGAGCCACGGCGCCACCAGGTCCTCACGGCATCCAGAGTCCCGCCTCTGTGGACACCAGGCCCCTCCACCTCACCACTGCATCCACTCTGACTTCCTCTGGGTGAGGTTCTCTACCCACCCACCCACAATTCCAAGGCCCCTGGGCCACCCTTGAGTTCTGGTGCACAGGCCAGCTATGGGGACTCCTCCGCCCAGTCAGTGGGTACACACACTGGCCGCTTCCCCTTCAGTCTATGATGCCCTCGCCACAGTGCCAGGCAACCAGCAGAAGGACCCAGAAACACTGTACCACAGCATGGGGCTGCCTGGGGTTAATGCAAAGCCACACAGGCACCGAAGGGGGACCCACTGCAGCAGCTGGCCCAGGAGGCCACAGACACGGTCACCTATCCATGTCCCCCGTCACTAGGTGGGCCCCACACGCTGAGGGAGGACCCTCCTGCCGGCCAGCCCCCGGCAGCACTTAAGTCTCGCAGTAGCTCAGATGCACAATGCCCGGTGACAATGCCACACGGGACACCGCCTGGCTGGCCCGACCTCCCACATCTCCAGGCCCGTCCACTGAGGCCCCACGCAGGAAAAGACGCAAGACACGGGGCACGCGCATTTATTGTTCCGATGTGGTCTCGATCGGCCCACGGCACCCAGGCCTGTGAGAACAGGAGTCGCAGGCAAACACAGAGGTGAGGTGGACACAGATGGGACACGGACGCCCGCAGAGCCAGCAGGCTAAGAGAGAACACAGTCCAGAGAGAGGCGCACGCAGGCAGGCGCTGCCACGAGCGTCGCAACTTCCTCTGTCCTCACATCTTCCCAGGTGGCCCAGGGACACTCCTGCCAACAGAGGGGGAGCAGGCGAGGCCAGGTGGTGACTCCATCCACCTGCCGGCCATCTGCGTGGACGAGCAGGGACAGTGACCCACTCCTCGAGGGTGTCACGGCCAGAACTGGCCAGGATGAGACCCGAACTAAACAAATCGCACACACATCTGCACAAGCACGTGCTCATTCTCAGACATAAACGCGCATCCTGCACGTGGACGCACACGTGTCCACGCGCACACACACATCATCCAGCTGCAGTGGGATGGTCCCACCCATGACCGTGAAGCCAGCTGAGAGGCAGATAGAAGGCCAGGTGAGCGGAGGAGGGAGGTATTTCCAGTCTGACCCGAGTGTGGGGCATCTGTTGGAAGGACAGTAAGGGTAGAGGGCTCCGAGGTTTGGGCCACTGGTCGCGACCAGTGGGCTGTTCTTGGGGGCAATTCCAAAGAAAAATGGCAGATGAGCAACAGGGTAGGGGGCTTCTGGGAGCTGGACAAGATCAGAAGAGGCAGGGGTGAGAAAACTGAAGAAGATTCCAGAAAGATCAATGGTGGGTGGGGTGACAGGGAGGCCAGCAGGTAAACGGGTGCCGGGCAGCCGCAGGCTGAGCAAAGCAGTCCTCCAGCGGACAGCTGAGCAACTGAGACTCCAGGGGGTACGTGGAGGGTGGGCGGGCGTGATGGGAGGATGGGGGTGACGCAGGTAGGAAGGCCAGTGACGTTCACAGAACTGTGTCGCTTCTGCCCTCAGCTGGCCCCGCGATCACTGGGCACAGTACATCTGTGGATGTCAGGACCTGAGTGGGTGCTACTGGCCTGGGGCAAGGGGAAGCCAGGAACAGGGCACAGGACGCCCCGTCAAGAAGGATCCAGCTCACGTGGGCAGCACTGCAGCACGACCGGGCACCCTGGGCCTCAGGTGCAGAAGGTACAGACACAGCTGCTCACGAGCTGTCCAGGGCTGCAGACACCAGAGAGCTAACAGAGCCAGGCAGAAGCCTCCCCGACACCCCTACAGAGTCCAGCCCCCGAAGGCCCAACGCCCCGACAGCTTCACACCGGGTGGGCAGAAGGACAGACCAGAAAACAGAGCATATGCGGTGGAGGGTGGAGCCCGGTGGCCTGGCCGAGGCCTCATCAACAGTGGTCTGGTTTTTACAAGGGGTCAAGGTGCACGGGGCTCACGTTAGCCAGGTGACCTGCGGTGCTGAGGCCAGCTCACCACGTGGGGGAGGAGGGGAAGAAGTGTGGCCGGCGCTGCACTGGCCGGACCTCCCCACGTCTGCCCCCTGACGAGTCCCTGTGACTTTCTACTGATGCCCGGGGGGCACACGGGGAGAACGGGGGGGGGGGGGGGGGAGGGGGGGGGGGGGGGGGGGGGGGGGCGCAATGCGGAGGGGCATGCGGGGGGGCACGAAGAGGACACGCGGGGGGACATGAGGAGGACATGTGGGGGACACGCGGAGAGCACGCGGTCAGCAGCGCTGACTCTCACGTGAGTACTGTCCACTGCACGTTCTCATAAGGGCTGCCTCCCCGCGGGATCACTGGGGGTCAACAGGGTCAGAGGGCACAGCGGTACCTGCGGCGAACTCCTCGATGGTCATCAGCGGGAAGCGGATGAGGCCCAGGGCCGCACCCAGGACCTTGCGCTTGTTCTCGGGCGTCACCGGCAGCTGCTGGCGCTGGCACTCGGCCTCTGACCAGCGCACGACGGCATTGAACAGGCGGACCTCGCGGATGCCCAGTGTGTCGCGCTCCAGGACGGCCACCAGGGTGTCTGTGGGACAGGGCGGTCAGTGCAGGACAGTGTGGAAGTGTCTTGACTTAAAAACCTTCCTGGACCCGCGGCCAGCGCTCCCTGCAGCACCCCGGGCCTGCAGGACGGCGCTGTCCGAACGGCCAGGGCACGCTGAGAACCCACGCGCTCGGCCCAGCCCCCACCCGTGCCCGAGCTCGTCCCGGCCCCTCACCCAGGTCGATGTCGGTGAAGCCCTCGGCGGTGATGGCGTCAGCAGTGTTCTTGTCGATGTTCTCCAGGCACAGGCTGGCCAGCTGCGGCTCATCGAACAGTCGAGCCTGCAGAGGGCAGAAGGGTCAGCAGAAGGCCTGTGGTGGCACAGACCCCGGCGTGTGGACAAGGCAGGCTGGGGACAGGGGTGGCGCACAGAGGGCACAGGCTGCAGGCACTGCATCCCCGGGGCAGGGGACTTAGGGCCGAGGTCCCCCTGTGGGTGAGCAGGGACAACGGCGGACACCCCGGGTGGACCTGACCCACCAGGACCCTCAGGAAGCTTCCAGAGGTGGAAGCTTGCTAGTAGAACCCAAACCCTGGACCCGTTGTCCCTGGACCTGTTGTCCCTGCACCTGTTGTCTGAGGCCCTGTTGTCCGAGGCCCCGTTGTTCCTGGTCCCGATGAGGACACAGGGGCCAGGGCCTCCCGCCGTGAAGGATTGTTTGTGGTCCCGGCAAACATGTTCCAACACACAGGTGTCCACATACCCAGCAAGTCTTGGGCAGCGGCCGGGCCCAGGAAGGGACACTGCCTGTTCCCAGCAGGGACTCCACGCCCACCCCACGTTGCAGACATCCCCGAATCAGGCCTCAGTACCCTGCTCCCCAGCCCAGATGGGTCCCCCATGCCAGTTCCCTTCCCAGAGTGCAACGCTCAGCCTGGGGGCTACTAACACCCCAGGATGACTGGTCCAGATGGACAGCACACAGACCCCGTAAGTGTGTGCCCCCGACCCACACACCTGTCCAGGGGTGATGGGGAACCAGGCCAGCCACAGCCAAGCAGCCTCAGTCCCTCGAGCTGGGGTCAAGCCAAGCCCCGCCCCACAAGCACCTGTGCCCCTGGTCCAGGGGCAGGTGAGGGACAGACGCCGGACAGAGCCCTGACGACAGAGAGGGCAGGGTACTGATGCCCCTACCACGTGGATAAGCCTGACATGGTGCCCGCTTAGAGCCTGGCCTGGACTACCCGTGTCCACTCCCACGTCTGTGGAATGTCCACAGGGTCTGCAGGAGGGGAGGGAGGGCCTCTTTGGGGGACACGAGAAAGTTCTGGAACTAAATGGTAGCAGTTTACAACTTCAGGACCTGCTGCTAAACAGCTCGCGGAAGCCGTTCAAACGGCAGGTTCCGTGGTGGCCGCACAGTGCTGCTCGGGTTTTGTCCTATTAACTAGGAGCTCCGGGGCCCAGCGGGTAAGGAGCTGTGTTTCCAACTCAAAGGCAAGCTGCTGGAACCCACCAGCGGCTCTGCGCAAGAATGATGGGCGGTCTCCTCCCACGCAATTTAGTCTCTGAAAACCCTGGAGGGTCAGCTGAGTCAGTTCCAAGCCCACGACAACAAAAGAGACATTAAAAATAAACTAGACAGAATCACCCGGCACAGCACACTCTGCGATGCCCCCACCGGGGCTGGGGAGCCAGAGAGGGGTCCACCCAAGCCTTGAAGTCCTACCCTGAAAGATGGGGCCCTCGTACACCCCAAAATCTCAGATGTGAGCTCGCTTCTGAAGCAGCCTGGCAACACATGGGGGAGGGACTATGAGAGCACAGCAGGACAACGGTCACTGTGGCAAGACCACGGCTCCCCCAGGGCGAGGCCAGCACAACTGAGTCCCAGGGGGCTGAGCGCTGGGCAAGGCCGGTGGGGTCCTCACTGGGGCCCAAAACTATAGAAAGATGCCCAGAAACTCAGAAACACGGAGAAGAACACAGAGGCAGCCCCAGGGTCCCTGCTCCAGCGCCACACAGCCGGCCCGTCCTCCGCGCCTGTGCGTACCCCGCACCCCGGGGACCTGCTCCTCACAGCTGCTCTCCTCTGCACTGTTGCGTCTTTACCACAGGACGTCACCAAGGCTGGGGTCTGGGGGTCCCCGTAGGTCACAGCAGCCGGAGTCTGGGAGGGGGGTCCCGGTAGGTCACCAAGGCCGGGATATGGGGTCCCGAGTGGGGGGCTCTGCTCTATTCTGCTGCGTCTTTACCACAGGCCATCACAGTGGCCGGGGCCGGGGGTCCCGGCGGTGGGGCTCACCCTGCCCCATGCCTGCCCCGTGCGCCCGCCCCGTGTGCCCACTGCCACACCTGCGTGAGGAGCATGAAGGCATTGTCCGCCCGCAGGTTCTTCTTCAGGAACTCCACGCAGTGGGCCTCGAGCGCGGGCACGGCGTACTTCTTGGCGGTGTAGAGGGTGGTCATGACCGTCTCGGGGCCGATCTGCACCTCGTCTGAGTAGAGGAACCTGCGGGGGCAGCGCAGTGACACGGCCACTCAGCATGTGCTGCTCCTGACGGTAACCACGGGGACCCAGCGGTGACGCGGCCACGGCTGAGACCCGACAGCATGAGCCGGGCAGTCAGGTGAGGCCTCAGGGCACTGCAGATGCACCCCAAGCCCACTCAGCTCCCCTGCCCACGACCTGTGTCCTCCCCTCGGACCAAGGGCCAGGCAGGCCCTGTGCACAGTGCACACCCGCGGGCGGGCTCGCTGGACAAGAGTGCACTCTGCCCTTCCACCAACCGAACACTCAATGTGGGGACAGGACAAAAGAATGGCAGGAACAGTCGGACACATGGAGATACCAAACGCCGCACTGCAGGGGCACCTGGCCAGTGTCACCACTGCGACACCAACCAGCGCTTCCTTGGAAAGCTCAATGCGGAGTCCCCACGGGACCACGGGACCAGGCAGCCTGCACGCCTGGGCCTGGGCTGGAGACACAGACGCCAGGGCAGCAACCATCACTGTGGCCGTGGCTGTTCACAGCACCACCTGGTAGATGCACCGACATGTAGCAAGGTCACCCCACATAAGGTCCATCCACCCCACGTGTGTGAGCACCATCCCAGCAAGGTCCGCCCATATGGTGTGACCATGACAGAACATGGCCTGTCCTCATCATGTGACCACCCATGCAGTGGTCAGCCACTAACAGAACCGTTGAGGTAGGTGGGGGTGGGCGACAGTGCTTCAGGACGCTGAGTCTCTGAAGAGAAACTTGGGGCTCACTAATGGTGGTGAGCGGAGAACACAAACACAGAGAATGTCACTGAACGGCACACACAGTTATTAAAACGTCAAAGGTTTCAGTACCTGTATGTTTATGACCATTAAAAACCGCACGCCCTTGACAAGAGCAGACACAGCAAGCGGGACAATGGCTGGCAGGGCTGGGAGTGACTGCTGACCAACGCGAGGTCTCCCTGGGGGTGAGGTCTCCCTGGGGGTGAGGTCTCCCTGAGGGTGAGGTCTCCCTGGGGGTGAGGTCTCCCTGGGGGTGAGGTCTCCC